AAAAAAAAAAAAAAATACAAGATACATTACATGTTGTCACAAATAAGTTGAACTAGTAATTATTTTCATCAATTAAATGCCTGTCCCATTGAATCTGCCAATCAATGACCGTTGATTGTTTACCTGTCGACACAGACCTTCACTCTCATCTGTCTGTTCATGTTGAATGGGATTGAGGGCTATTCGATCCATTTGACAAAGCAAGTAAGAGTCAATGGGAACATGGTGGCGGGCGGAGGGTTTAAGCAAGCAAGAGTCTTTGAAATAGATTTTCCGGCCCCAGGACGAAGGGGGTTTAATGTGGTGGCGGAGGGGAATCCAATGCCGTCTGTGGTGGCTGCACTGATGAATTGGGTACCTGCCACCTGGGGTTGGGTTAACCCCAGACGCTGTCAGCCCTTTCGATAAGAGTCGTGAATGAAGCAGGTGAGTCAAACCATGATGGGTCCTACGTTTGAACGCTCTTTGGAATTAGGTCCCTATATCCATTTAGAAATTAGAATGCAATTTCCGGGTTGTTCCGCGGTGGACTAATACTTCCTCTCTTTTTGACCTCCAGTATGATATGTAGGAACAGGGTGCAATAACAAAGTTCCATTCCATACATCTGTATAGACTTGAGATGATATTCTCCAATGGCTGTGGTTATGGATTCAGAAGGTAAAATGCTTCCCCCTCTGCTCATTTTTTAGATAAAATGTTTTCTTCAAATCATGCATTTATATCAGAAGATTGTTTCAATGTTCATATGGTGTTGTGTTATGCTTTGTATGGCAAATCTAGTTTGTTATATAACAGCCATGCCATGGTTTCTTGATTTTGCTCATCTAAAATTAATTGTTTAGGTGCCTTTCTATCCCCAAACGGCGTGTACCAGATCTCTTATTAAAATTTTTTGAGTTAGATTTAGGTTAATTGTTGAGAGATTGAAGATTGAGGGAGTGTCTCTCTATCTATTAAAAGTTTTTTTATTCTTTAATTTCAGAGTTTTGTGGTCTGAGAAAGTAACAATCAGAAGATGTGGAATTGTTCTTCCAACATTGTGAAATTTGAATGAAGTGTATTAGCCTATTTTGATTTGTTATGGAGAGCATAGATATTTCAACAAGTGGATTTATTTACCTTGTTCTGCTGATATTCTCATGCCATTGCTTGATATTCCCTAGTTCAGCAAAAGACACCCTCTCATCAGGGCAATATATCACCAACTCTTAAACAATTGTTTTGAGAAGGGGGAGTGTTTGAGCTGGGATTCTTTTCCCCTGGGAATTCAGCCATTTACTACCTAGGAATCTGGTATAAGAAAGTCGAGCGGCAAACTGTTGTATGGGTGGGAAACCGAGACTATTCATTTTTCACTTCTTCTGCAGCTCTCACAGTTAGTGATGATGGTAACCTTGTGATTTTGGACAGCAAGATATCTTACAGGGTGACAAATATATCACTGTATAAGAATGTGAGTGCTACACTTTTGGACACTGGAAATCTTGTTCTGAGAGATGAAAACTTGAATATTTTATGGCAGAGCTTTGACTTCCCTTCTGATACCTTCTTGCCTGGAATGAAGCTTGGGTATGATAAAAGTTCAGGAAGAAATTGGTCATATATGTCATGGGAAAGTTCTGAAGATCCTAGTCCGGGAAATTTCACCTTGGTGTTGGATGCAGAGAAAAGTTCGATGATGATCATGAATGGTCTGGAACTTTATTGGACGTCTGGGCCTTGGAATGGCCAGATTTTTAGCTTGGTTCCTGAAATGAAGTATAACTACTTTGCTAATTTCACCTATGTTTCTGATGGGCAAAGGACTTATGTCACCTATGATCCCTATGATAAAAGTCTTATTTCTAGATATGTAATGGAAATATCAGGCCAATTGGAACAATTCATGTGGCTAGAAAGTTCAAAACAATGGAATCTCTTCTGGCCGCAACCACATCAACAGTGCGAAGTTTATGCTTTTTGTGGGTCATTTGGGATCTGCAATGAGGAGTCTTTACCATTTTGTAATTGCTTGCCTGGATTCGAACCATACTCTCAAGAGCAATGGAATAAAGCAGATTATTCTGGAGGGTGTACTAGGAAAACTGATTTGCAATGTGGCAATAACAACAATTCCAAGGGTCTAGGAGATGGATTTAAAATGCTTCCCGAAGTGAGACTGCCAGAGAGTCCAATGGCTGTAGCAGTTCAGAGCATCGATGCCTGCCAGTCATCTTGCTTGAATAACTGCTCATGTATTGCTTATTCTTATTTCGGGGGTAATTGTACAGTCTGGGGCAAGGATCTTAATTTAATAAATATGCAAAAACTGTCAGATACAGATGCGAGTGGAATCGATTTTTATCTCAAACTTGCTGGTGCTGATTTGGTTACTGAAAGTAAGAGTCCTAAAAGAAGTCTCTTTTCACAGTTAGCTTATTGAGGTACATTTTGAAATATACTTTTCACAAACTATT